GCCATGGAACATATAGGGTCATGTTGGACCCCAGTAGGCTGTCCCCTTTATGCTGTGCTCTGAACTGGTATGATAGACCTGCTGCTTGCTCTGCTGGCAGTGGAAATGGAGCTACTGAAGATAAGGGCAACAAACACCATGGTACTTCATACTTCATGGCATGAGAGATCAGTTCTGTGCTCCAGGAACAAGGGGATACATATACCTTGGCTCTAGTGACACTCTTTAGAGTCAGCTCATGTTCATAGCAAATTCTTTGAGACAATTTCGATGGAGGTCATAGAAAAGCAAGCTTCAGCCATCACATCTGGCACCATTGCTCCATGTCAAAATTTATATCTTTTACTACACATATCAAAATTTCTGTCTGTTACTGCAAGTACTTGACTTACTTGTGAGAATCGATTTTCTAGACTTCCTACAATGTCCTGCTTTCATGGCTACATCTTCTGGTTGAGCTGATTTGCCAGAAAGAAACTCATCTGCTGGAGTCACCTACAGGCCATATCCTTCTGTATCTGCAAAGAAGAGGACAGACTGTCATGCCTGTCCTGGAGCCATATCAGTTACACCTGACAGAACCACACAGGCAGTTGTCACCAAGCTACAGTCACTCCCAGTGGTGGCATTCCAGCAATGATGCCCTATGAGGGCATCACAATCGTCAGTGATACTGTGCGTGGTTGTCACTAGGATGATCTCTGAACAATTTTCAACATCAGCACTGTTCTTTATAGATGGTGGCTCAAGCATTACTGCATACTTGGTCACCCCTGCAGCACAAGCTGTTGAACTCAGATATATCAATAACAGTTAATACTTGTTGTCCTTGGCAGAGCATCTGGCAGAAGTGACTCTCCAAAAAGGATCTATGAAATGTAATAGAGTACCAAGTATCAGGTACACCTGCTATGGCACCCAATCTACCCCGCCTTCTCTTCATAAACAAGCTAGAGTAACACACAGGGTACAGTAGCTCTCTTTGCCTGTTTTGCAATCATTATTTTGATATTAAAGATCAAGTTTTCCACCTAGCTGGTTAAAAAGATTTAATGACTCCTGTAACACAACTGGATCTAGTCTAAGTCTCCAGGTCCACCACATCTCTCCAGATCCTGTGCCTCTACATCACCTTTTTCATTTGATTAGCATGGGAAATAAATGGATTTATCATTGCTCCCTTATGCCACCTCTAAGTGACTTACTACATATGTGGAAAGAAACACCTCTTAGGTAACTGCTGAGCAACCAGCCTGATTCAGACCCCAGACTCCTGATGGTCCTTAATTATTATTTTGTGTGGTCACTTGTGGGTGGTTTTGGGATGATCCTGACAGGTCTGAAGCTCTATCTCACTAATGGATAGAGTGAGGTTCTCATTATCTTGTGACTGGTCTGCAGCGAGCACAAACACTGGATGTGTGAGTAAATGAGTGAAACACCTAGATACTTTTTTTGAAGGCATCTGGATGCTTGAATGTTCAGCTGTTGATACTGGAATGACATCTGCCATTTCTCGGTTGGTGGTGTGGTTTCTTTAAAATTTGGTCCTGATCTGTGTTTTAATTTGAAGAACAATTAAACTTTATGCACAAATAAAAACCAGATCATATATTAAAGAATCTCTATTGGATTTCTAAGCAGGCTAGAAAGAACCTAAACACCTTTAGTGCAGGTTGCTTTGCTTACATTATTATTTTGTTC